TGCTGGAGTTCTCTGATATGATAGAAACAGTAGATGGGAGAGGGTACTATCGCCCTAGCAGGAGGGAGGAGGCAGGGAGGGTGGGGGGTGCTCATCGGGACCAAGTCCCTTAGTACCGCCCCCGGGGTCCGCACCCACCCTGTGCGGCCCCGCCCCAATCAACTGCTAGGCCCGGGGGGCTGAAGCTCCAGGATTCCGGAATCGTGCTTAGTTTTGCAAAGATTTGGACTCCCATGCTCGTCTAGACCAGCGTGAAATCTCCGGAAGGTCTTTTTGCCAGTCCGACAGGGAGAATCTTATTAATTGCATCTGCATCAATCGTCTTGACTGCGGCAGTGTACCAGGAGGCAAGAGCCAAAGCAATAATGCACTGATCCCGAGCAGAGTCGATGCAGCGAAAAGGGATTGACAGACATTCAGACGAAACGCTCACCATGACACCTCCTGTTTCTCGAACCGCTCACGGCGCTTTGGTGGTGCTGGTGGTGGTGGTGGTGGTAGTAGTAGTAGTAGTACTACTACTACTACTACTACTACTAGTAGTAGTAGTAGTAGTAGTGGTAGTGGTGGTAGGAGTGGTAGGAGTGGTAGGAGTGGCAGTAGTAGTAGTAGTAGTAGTAGTAGTAGCAGCAGCAGTAGTAGCAGCAGCAGTAGTAGTAAGTAGTAGTAGTAGTAGTAGTAGTAGTAGTAGCAGCAGCAGCAGCAGCTGTAGCAGCAGTAGCAGCAGGCAGCAGTAGTGGTAGTAACAGCAGCAGCCACAGTTGGAGGCCTTTGTGTTGTGGTCTGCCAAAACTTGCTTGTCCTACCTATGGCATGAGCGAGCCTTGTTACATGCATCGCTGGGCGCAGCACCGACAGCGGACACTGTTTCTCACACAGCACATAGACGACAGGAAACTACTCAACGACTTGAATGGCCTACCACTTTCAACTCTCTCCCAGCTTCGCTCTGTCCGGCCGGTACGAGTACCACATTCAGTACCCTGCTGCTACTGGTAAAGACCATAAGTACTTGCATTGAGCAAAAATTGAGATATGTGAACACCGAATGTGTCACTACATGAGCGCTGCGGGCCTCAAATCTGTGGTCCAGCCGATGCCGAAAGTGCCTGGCGCGTTCGGCACGGTGTGATGTTGCAAGATCAGCGAACTGTATATAACAACGCGCCTGATGTTCGGAGGGTGTACGCCCTCGACATTTCCACCTTCGAATAGTCCTTGGGGGTGTACGATCGACGGAATGTGTGCCGCCCACAGAGCAAACAACCCACCAAGACCCTGGCGGAAAGGCTGGGGAAAGAACACGGCACCGACCGGAACCTTGCAGGCAGAATTATGGACTGCATGTCCGGGAAATCTGAAAGCTTTGTGGACACCAGCGACTTGGATATGGGTAGGTTCCACACACTCAGCCCTATCACAAGCCGCGCGGCCTTCATGTAGCAGGGCGAAACAGGACAACAGACATTTCGCAAGAGATGTGATGCTGTGTTGAACTGCCTGCAAAGTCACCATTGGCGACGGGCAGCCTCGACTCGACACTGAATGTTCGTTCCAAATCTCCTCATGAAGTTGTCTAAACATTGCCAAGAGCCCGGCAGCGCCCAGGCGCAGCTGCTGAGCAGTCACTAACTATAAAGAACTTGGGCCAGCAAAGGAACATATGCCTTAGGAGCTTTAGCCGTTGGATGCGCCACGAACATGAACTCAAGAAGTTGTGACCTGCCTTGCAGCCCAAACTAAAGGAAGCTGCAGAGCACCAGCGCCTCTCTAATCATGACCTGTGCCAGTGCGACAGCCTGGCAGCGAAACCAAGCAAACAGCTGTGAGGATTGAGGGAATGCTGTGATCCAACATGTCCGGAGACTGAGCCACGAGCATCTGCTGACCCCGTCATGCGCACAATGCAAGGATCTCGTCCCTTCCCAGATTCTTTGATAAAGAAACAGGTGCTGGGTCACGTTTGCATCTTGACAAGTGCCTTGTCCAAGTCTATCTTTGCGCCACTTCTCTCCTGTGGGTCAACAAGCTCCGGCAAAAGCTCCGAACACCTGCAGATCTCTGCACTCCTGAATCTCATTGATTTGCCGGCCACCAGGACCGATCAATCGGCCGGTGACACTTGGAGGAATCTGAGAGTGGTCGCAAGACAAAAAACTGACCAACCATTTCTGCACAGCAGCTGCCTCCATGGTGGCTGCTGCTTCTGCCAGCTGCGTTCTATCCCTGCCTGCACCAATCAGTACACAAGGTGCTTCCCTTTACCCCAGACAGGAGTGCAGCATGCCTTCCAACACTTCGGTCACTAGAGTCTTGGCCAGCTGCACGTTGTCCGGAAAGCCACCGAAACGTACCTCAGCGCCAACAGCGCCAACACCGTTGCACTCAAAGCGCGCTCGCGAGCTGAAAGGGTACGAGGCAGCGGTCAGGCTGGCGGTCAATATCAATCTTGGCACCGCTGCGCTCCTGAAGCTCCTCATACGTCACACGCTCTTGAGCCGAGAAGGGCGCACGACAACACTGAGCCTTAGACCTGTATCCTGGTACCTCCAGCGCCGATGATGCGCCCCACGGCGCTTCGGGGAATCTCCAGGTACTCTCCACTACCTCGCACTTCGCTCGACATACACGAAGGCGCACCCGCGACCTGCAGTCTCCAAGGCACCTGAGTCTGTCGGCGGAGTCATGATGGCGTTGATCATGGCCTTCGCCACATCCACCTCTCACGAAAGGAGTAGCTGAGTAGCTGAGGCGAAGCTTGAGCAGACAAGAAAGCCCGTGGAAGCGACCTGGCTTTGCGTTCCCACGAAACGCACCCTGCAGCCCGTAGGAGACTTGTCCACATCTACCTCGCACGATGCATGGAGGGCTCTGACCAGCGCATCTCAGAGAGCTTGCGACCTGTGCACCGCTTTTTTGCCGAATTTCGGCAATCTGCTGGCCCTTGGTTCCGATGACCTCAAACGGGTGATCCTCAGCCGAACCGTCAAAACAGTCTGGGACCCGAATGGCCTTGCCAGTCGCGTGCCGTGGGAGCTCGAGGTGTTCTTCTACGGCCGGCCTCCATCGTTCACAGCTCTCTCAAAGACGGATCTTGAGACAAGCTCTCAGGCACAAACGAAGTTGCATCTGAAGCTGCCGAAGCCGCTCGTGCTGACACGGCCTCAATTCAAGGAGAAGCCTTTTCTGGCCGTCACCTTGTCGCCGTACTACTAACCATCCCACTTGCCGAAAAAAACTTGCAAGACGCCCTCTCCGGGAACGAGCCACCTCCCATTCAACCCCCCAACTCCATGGTACACACTCTCAGCAATACTCTCACCGAGATCAGAACGGCAGCTGCTGCCGCAGCAGCCGCGGCGGCAGCTGCACGAACGATCGCATCCAAGACACTTCCGACACAAGCCCAGACACGCACGAAGTATGAAATCATGTTTGGCTGCCTTCCCTTCCAACTTCACGAGAATCGCCTGAGAGAGTGCGAGCCGAAGCCTGAAACCGAACTTCCACCGGGGAGACCTTCGGGGGTGGGAAGAGAACAAACAGTGACACAGCGAGAAGCTTGGCAAATTCTGCAGGACCTGACTGATTCAATCCTGGCGAACGCCAGACTCAGAAACTGTTACTTAAATCTCGCCTGCTATCAGAGCGCCGTCAGCAACTTCCAAGATCAATGCCTGCACTGGCAGATGGCATGCAAAATTGTTAGACGTAACAAGCCCCGTTTAGACATGTTAGCATGCATGTGGACAGTGCACTGCAAGAAGCATCTGCAGCTTGAACCGTGCGACGACTTGCAGCCCTTTCGAGGCAAAAGCGTGTAGCGACTTGTTCCCGAAAGCATCGCGAAGGGTTCTTCCGTATAGAGCCCTTCAGAGAAGCACATAGGATCAAGTACACAGAGGATCAAGTACACAGCGTTAATACATCGATTGAAGTGCAGAGTATCGAGTGCAGAGTACACCGGTGCATAGTACACAGAATGAAGTGCATAGTACACCGAGTGAA